ACACCGCGCTGCTGCGCGGCGGCCTCGTGCAGGTACCGCGGGGCGGGGAGCGGAGTAGGAGCTCGGGTGGGCGCAGGGGGTGGGGAGCAGGGAGCGGACAGCCGAGTAGGAGATGGGGCGGAGGAGGGGATCCGTGTGGCGTTGCAGAGGGGTGGGCTCCTGTGTGGCCGGTTACCGAGGAGGGCCGGTGGCTGTAGACGAGGAAGGACCCGGCTGGCTGTCACGGTGCGCTGTGAGGAGGGCCCCGCTGCCTTCGTGACTTCACGTCTGTTCAGACAGGGCAGATTGGGTAGGTGAAAAAGGCCCGCTCCTGTGAGAGCCGCGGGGGCCGCAAGAAGGGAGAAGCGGGGTAGAAGGGAGCTGCTAACAGAGGCAGGGAGCCCTGGCTTCCCGAAGGGGCAGGGGCAAGGACCGGGGGCGGAGATTTTCAAGACAGAGCATGGTGCCCCCTCCCCATTGACAGGTGAGCATGTGTCAGGGTCCCTTGGTCAATCTCCGGGGAAGGGTGGGACTTTCAGGGCCCCTCAGCCAATCGTAGTGTGTGTGTATGGGGGGTGCCAAGCTCCATCATGAAAACGGCGCCCGACGCTGTGCTGGGACCCTGAAATCCGGAGGCAGCCTCCATGAATTAGGTAGGTCCCTACCTATGAATAGGTTTTGTGGTTTTGGGGTTTTTTTTTAACTTTAATATTAATAGCAAATGATATTCAGACTTTGGAAAATTTGCACTTTCATCCCTGCTTCTTTTCCCCTTCAGATTTCAGTAGATAGTTACTCTTTTTTGTAACAGTGTTATGATCATGCCCTAAATCTTCATTCTCTAAGTGGGTGGCACCCAATGTTTCCCCCGCCCCCCGAGGACCAGTTGAGTGGCACGGGGTTGGATGCAGCCACGGACTGGCTCAGCCCACATGCTGGCTTGGCCCTATGGATGTGGCTGAGCTTTGGGCCAGCCTCATTTGCTGGCACAACCTGGTGCACAGGCCACTTTATCCAGCCCACAGTTCCCCACAGTCTGGAAATTCAGTAGCATGGGAGCAGTAGTTAGCTGCCACCACTAGCTCACTGCCAAATTTACTGACTATGGAGAGCCAGATGACCCAGTTCTGTGGGCCAGGCATTGAGCACACCTGCTGTAGTCTGATAGCAGAGCTGCTTCTGTATTCAATAGGAGTAAGATAAGGCCTAACGGCACTACTATCAAACAAAGAAAAAGCCTGCCAATCTTAATGTCTGGTAAAGAAGAAAATAGGATGTAGCTGAAAGTGAAATGTGCTTTACGGGAAAACAAGGCTAAATACAATACTGGTACAAACAGCAAAGTGCTGCTTTTATATATGTAGTAACAAAATGTATTACCTCTGTATATCAAACTTGGATAACTTGGTATCATCACAGGCCTCATTCTTTATTCTTTGTACATTGCAGATTTCATTTTAAAATGCTGTTAATTCGTACACGTATATTTTTACACCTGCCGGTCTCTGCTTTTAAAATCTCTTGAACTTAACCCTAAGCAATGAGTTTAGGAATCAAACAGAAGTTGGAGAGGTGTATGGAGGCAAGAAGTTCTGTTCTGGGATAAGGGAATTTTAGTATATTTAGCCTATATTGGAAAATCTAGTACTAGTGGAAAAGTTGGGAAGAAATGGTAAGTGGTATAAACCATATAAGAGCTATGGGTTTATGTTTGACAGATCCCCATGTCTCCTTAAATGCTCTTCTGATTTAGTTGGTTCAATACAACTAAACTATATTTAAATATGTGGGGGTTTTTATGTTCTTAGTGAGGCTCTAAAGCAAAAACATAAAACTTCTCAAAGGAAATGCATTTCTTACCCACTTTATGGTATTATGTGCTAAGGTTCAGTGGAAGTAGTATTGTGACTTTCTCTCTAAGGGGCTATACATAATTTAACTCTTTTCTTTGTTGATGCTGCTAAGTTACAGTAATGGTGTGAATAAATCATTCAGTGTCAATGGAAGCTATGATTGGTACACTGACTCACATTTGTAGGGTAATGTTGTGGTAGAAGGCTTGAAATGAGACAGGATGTTTGTTTGTTAGCCAGTTAACAGTAATTCAGTTCAATTATTTCAGTAGCTTTGAGCAGTAGTCTGTTTTTCTGAGCTTAGTCCCTGGTTATACTAATATGGAGTGAATTCTGTATCTGCCTGGACCCTAGTAACTTCAGTCAGCCTGTACAATCTTGACCTCCCAGTGGACTGATTAAGCTGATGCAGAACTCTTTGTGGATGCTTTTAGTTTAAATTTACAGAGGCTTATTTTGGTCTGACACCTGTGTCTAATCAGCTTAGAAGAGACAAGCTTGGCTAACCAAAATAAATGTTTACGCAGCCTTTTGCACCAGTTTGCCTAAATAATTTTTAAATCACATTTTTAGTTTTTACCAACACAACCACAAGAACACAAATCCAAGGATCATCTTAAAAGGTTTTGGTATCCACAATGATGTTTGAGTTCTCCAACTGAGTCTTAACCAGTTCCTGTTTACCTAATCATGTCACATACTGGCTGCTCTCCATGGAAATGAGCTAAGATGGTTGGGGAGGGTGAAATAACTCTTTAATGCATCTGCATCTTTTTTAAAATTTTTTTTTATGTAAAAGGGATGTGAGAGAGAGAGAAGTGTGTGCAAAGTGAAGCTCATCTGCTTGTGCTGGGTTGAGTCTTCTGTGATGTGAAGTTCTCAGTACCAGATGCTTTTCAAATATAGGTGCTTAAAATTAATCCCTTATTGAGGCACATAACAAACAGCCTGAATTTTCTGTGCAGAGTACCTTCTGGCTCTTTGCTATTTATTGACATTCTCATTACCACTGAAATTCATGCCACTTTTTAAGTGCCTAAATACGGATTTAAGAGTTTGATTTCAGGCATCTAAATTTGCAAATTTGAGCATGATGGGTTTTTTCTTTTTCCTTCTTAAGCTCTTTTCTCTCCATGTCCTAGAATTGATGTCTGCTCCCAGTGAAGAAAGCTGAGTGACTGTCACTGTGCTAGATGTCTAAAAACTCCTGACAAAAGCAAAGATTATTCTGAGTGATTTCAGACATGTGAAATATATGAGCAAAATTGGTAAGAATTAAAATGTATGGGACAGCAAATGCCATTGTTCATGAACCACTTGCTGTCTATGTAGAGTGTGCTTAAACTGGGAGGAACATCTCTTCTGTTGAGGGGAGGGGGAGTTCACTCCCAGTCTGGATATTAATTTTCTTGCCAGAGGTGACTTTTCTCCCTGGCTCACATAATCTATGTTGGTGAACTCTTCCTTTTTCAAATGCACCAGGTGTTAGATATCTTCAGATACATCTTCAGATTTTTAGCTGTTGGGCAAATAGACTGCTAGGCTTCTTACCAATGCATAATTATCTCAAAGTAGCTCAGTTTAGATCCTGGATTGATATACTTTATCATGGGCAAATTATAGGACTGCCATGGACTCACTCCAGCCACTGGCAGCATTCCTATCTGAAGTAATCAGCGCTTGTGGATCTTCCCATGCCCAGTCTTATACCACCCTGGTTGTGCTCCTCGTTCAGCCTCCATTATCTGCTTAGTGAATAACCCAGGAAAGGGTCACTCCAGTAACTTACCCCTTCGCTTTACTTTGGCAATTCCCTCCTGCCTGTGACTGCAATGGCATTATACTGCTTGGCCTTTTTTGTTGTGGATTCAAATCTCTTGAGAGTAAAGCCCCTATACAACTTCCTACGTAGTGGCACACCCTTATTGGGCATGCTGGGAGCAAGAGAAACATTATCTGGCATAGGCAACAGACAGGATAGTGGTAGAAGAAAGGATAGCTTGATCACTGGAAGATCAAGGGTTGTTAACATTGTGGAGTGAAGAACTCATCAGGAATCAAGTAGATAATAATGAGTCTTGAAGTCAGCTGATTCCTTTAGTTCTACCTGGCTAGAAACATAGCTGTCCCTTCTGGGCATTTTTGTTTTCAAGTTTGAGTGGAGCAGGAATCACAGACATTAGGGCTGGAAGGGACCTTGAAGATCATTAAGTCCAGTCTCCTGCCCCAGGGGCAGGAAGTCAGCTAGGGTCAAAGGATTGCAGCAAAATAAGCATCCAAATGTTTCTGGAATGAGTCCAGAGTAGGTGCCTGCACCACTTCTGGAGGCAGTCTATTCCAGGCCTTGGGGGCTTGTTGGACAGTAAAGAAGTTTTTCCTTGTGTCCAGCCTAAAACGGTCATGGAGGAGTTTATGACTGTTGGTCCTTGTTATTCCTTGGGGCGCTCTGGTGAACAGACATTCCCCCAGATCCTGATGCACACCCCTTACGTACTTATAGGCAGACACCAGGTCACCCCTGAGCCTGCACTTTTCTAGGCTGAAGAGTCCCATGGCTCTCAGTTTCTCATAAGGCCTATTCTCTTGCCCTCTGATCACGCGCGTGGCTCTCCTCCGGACTCTCTCAAGCTTGTCCACATCCTTCTTGAATTGTGAAACCCAGAATTGGATGCAGTACTCCAGCTGTGGCCTCACCAAGGCCAAATGCAGCGGGAGAATGACATCCCGAGATTTACTTGAGAAGCATCTATGGGTGCAAGCCAGGGTTTTGTTTGCTTTACCAGCTGCGACATCACTGTGGCTCATGTTCATCTTGTGGTCAGTCATGACCCCCAAGTCTCTTTCAGCTGTGGTGCTAGCGAGTGTAGCACTGCCGAACCCATAAGCATGCTGCAGGTTTCTTTCCCCAAGGTGGAGTACCTTGCATTTATCAGTATTGAACGTCATCAGGTTTATATCCACCCACTTACTAAGTTTATCCAAGTCAGCCTGGATCACTAGCCTGTCCTCAGGTGTGGACGCTATGCTCCAAAGTTTAGTGTCATCAGTGAACTTGGCCAGTGCACTTCTGACACCAATGTCCACATCGTTGATAAAGATGTTAAAGAGACCTTGTCCAAGGACAGAGCTTTGGGGGACACCACTGGTCACAGAGCGCCTTCATGATTCGCTACTATCGACTATTTTTCCACAAGGACATC